AACGACTCGCTGTCGGCCACAGCGGCGCTGACCGACAAAGCAGTGAGCGACGTGCATACGTGGGTGAGCGCGGCGGTGACGGACCAGCAGACATGCCTGGACGGACTGGAAGAGGCGGGTGACGCGGCGAGCCTTGAGAAGATGAAGAAAATGATGACGAGGTCCGAGGAGTATACGAGTAACAGTTTGGCTATTGTTGCTAATATTCGCAATTTGTTACGCCATTTCAACATGAAACTCCATTGAACCTTTCAAATCGTTGCATTTTTTCTACTCGAAACAGCTTTGGAATTTGTGTGTGTAAATATGTGATCCTTAATTAATAGTATGATATTGTATTATGGAGTTTCAAATTTTAATTAAGTTCTTTCCCTTCATCATAATCACAATTTATTCTTTTCTTCATGATAAACCATCTACTTATTGAACTATTTAAGTCTTAAATATAATTAATTATCAGTGATCATATAAATAAGAACTTTGTAAACAATTTCAGATTGTGAAATCCTATATATTACATTATGAACTCTTTGAATAATAAAATTGAACTCTTGCTATTTGAGTTGTTACTTGCTACTTTTGTGCTAGTTATTACTGATTAAACATTATATTTCAAAGCATATATATTTTTACTCATTTGTCTCTTATCTTATTATTAAGTAAAATCATTTTCTTACATCAAATTCATATCTTCTGTTAACACCTTCGAATCAGATTTAGCAGGTCATTCTTATTGATGATGGAAAGTCACTCACATCTTCTGCCAATTCTATCAAACAGTATGAAGTATCAAATTAAAATCTACAAGGCTTGTGAGAAAATAAAAATTCCACACAGCAAAAGATTTAAGTCGTTTTTTTTTTTTTTTTTTTTCATTTCTTGACACCCACTCATGAAAAAAGCTATTAATTGATTATATTAACATTTTAATTATATTTTCTATTTTTTAACTTCAAGTATTAATATATATCTATATCATTATATTATTTAAATGAAATTATTAAGAGGTTGTTTTATTAAAAAAATGTTTTCGATTTAAAATTCTAATACCAAATAATCAATTAGAACATTTTATAAAACTGTGGAGGCAAAACTTTCAGAATAGAAACTCAATGATCTTATTCATTTACTTATTGACAATATGAAATCTCCAAAAACACATGTCCAACTAACACCAATGGACATAAAGATCCAAAATCTTATTCACCCTTTTTCTTGCATCTCATTTCAGGAATCCCGAAATTCCTTTTCCCCCAATCTCAAATCTTTGTTTAATTTCCAAAAGCTTGAAGAATGAAGGACATTGATATCAATTTGTATTTCTATAAAAAAATGTATTAAAAAAAGATAACTCTTTTGTTAATGTTGCAGAAGTGTTCTAAGACACTCCTAGTCAAGATCACTGGTATATGCAGAATTCACTAACTCTGCTACCCTTTCACCAAGCTCTTTTACCTCTTTCTGAAGCATACTGATGTGAGAGCAAGTTTCCTTTATGATCTGCATCATGCTCACTGATACCTGCAACGAAACATAGATAAGCTTTTATTGAGAGAATGAAGAAATTTTCATCCTTTGGGATTAACATTAACTTCCATAGTGAGCTATGTCATACCCTTGAGTCGCTTGTTTGGTTTTGTTGTGGCAACACTGCTTTTAGCATCAACAACAGATCATTAATCTTACTTTCTCTGAATTTTGAAGTTCTGGACTTTTTTCTGCCAGACATGCTGAAAGTTTGCAGTTTTGCAATTGTGCTCACTTTGATGTGAGTTGCCACCAAGAAACTGAAAAATGCTTGAATGGAGGAAGGGCGAAAACTGTTCTTTTATACTAATAATATACTCTGTTGACACTGTAAACAGTGAGAATTAGATCTACATGGCCCACAATTACAGTGGTTTTGAGGGTTGAGAGACTCATTGCCAAACATAATCCTTACAGTTTACTACACCATGATGATACTCATGAACTTATCTGATGTACACGTATCCTTAAAGACAGCCTCAAGAATTTTGGGAGTGGAATGCAAATCTAACGGTATCTTGTTTGTTTTTGTGGGAAATTAAGGTTGGCAAAACATTGCATTCGCTGTCAGTCTTTGCCTGCACAATATTCCTTTTGTCCGTTGGTTTCAATCACAACCAGCCGTAATATGTAATGTTCTCCTCGGTCATGGAACTTTTGTAGGTTAGGCCATCAAAATCAGAGCCGATCTACACTGTAAAAACATTCTAACCTTTAATTCAATTTCGATTTTAGTCATTTTTAATAAATACTGTCAAAAATTAGTAACAATTTTTTTGAGTCACCTAACTCTACTATCTATAGTCGGGTCTGAGAACTTGATAGTCAACATTACTTGAGTTAATGTTGATTAATAATATAATTAGAAGGTTTGGTTGAATTATTGATGATGATAATTAGTCTCAATTATTGTATTGATTGAGCGAATCACGTCTCCAAGTTCATAAGAGGATAATGGATCATGAAACATTAATGTTGTCAGAACCCATACTATTGTACACACAATATAGTAATATTACTAAGTTATTAAACAATAATGATCATTAACTTATATTAACTATTTCAATATGTAAGTCGACAACTATATTTTCACACTTTGTTACTTCTTTTAATGAAGATTGTCTATCTTCTCTAATGTCTTATCAAATCTTTTTCATTAAAGTCTAAATGTCCAAATCTGAACGAGTGGGCCTATGTTAAATGCACTCTCTTGCTCAAGTAGGGATAGCAATTTTACCTGCGGACACGAGTATCTGCAGGTAACGGGTAGTGAATATTTTAATACCCGCTTCTAAACGGGTCGAATACGGATAGTATACTACCCGCCCCGCGCGTACTCGTTACCCGCAAAAAATTAAAATAAAATAATTTTTATATATTTTTTAATTAAATTTAATTAAAAATAAAATATAATTATATTTTATTAGGTTAAATTTAATTATAATTAAATTTTAATTTATATTATATTATATATATATTTTTTGTAATTTTAATTAAATTTATTTTAAAAATGTATTAAATATATTTTTTTTTTGTTGGTATCCGTGGGTACTCGCGGATTTTAAAATATCCGAAAATATTTTTTAAATAGATACCCAAGCGGGTAACGGGTCGGGTAGCAGGTACAATTTTAAATACCCAATAAATATAATCACCTACTTCTTTATCATGTCTCTGTATTTATAAGTTTTGAAATAAACTTTTGTTTAGAACTGATCCAAATCACAACCCAATGTCAAATAAGCATGTTTTATCTTACTATATCTTGAAGTTTTCTTAATATATAAGATATCAATAAATCATTGATGTTAATAATAACCAATTGATCTATGTTGTTTTAAAAATTTTGGAAAATTGATTGATCGCTCACTATTACGTTGATCCATCAGTTCATACAATACATTAACCATATCTTAATTATATTTTGACACACACTCTGTATTGATTATGTTAAGAAACGACCTCCAATTATGAAGGTTTATTAAAGAGAAATAAAGGAAAAAAAATCTAACTAATCGTTTTAATTCAACCGAATTGTTTGTATGCCCTTTTTTAAAACATGTTTCAACACTCTGTGTTTTATTCATTTGGTTGCAGTTTGTAATTATTTTACACATCATTCTATTTATTTCTTTAAAAAGGACTTAAATGTAATTTACTAAGTTTTGAAATCAGTACCATAATCGCAGCTAATAATCTCGTGTTTCGTTGCAGTATTGCTTGCACTGTCTCCTTCGCATGCCTCGTCGCTGCCACCTCTTTGTCTTCTTGTTGGTCCGATGACAGTGAATGCGGTATTCTCTGGGGTTAGTTCTTGCCATGGTCTAGAACCTCTCATTTGTCGTCGTGACTACGACTAACCTCCTCTCCATGTTGCTCAAACTTTGGGAATGTTGGTGACGACCACCAAAGGGAGATTGGTTTGAGTGGTCAAGAGAAGACTTCAGTGGATTAAAAATCTGGTACCAAACACCCCATTTGGAGAAATGGCAGGGATTGTGGCCATGGCTTAACCCTCCGTATAGATTACGACTTTCATTCTCTCAGACTTGCTCACCCCTTTGCAGAAACACCCACGATTCCCTCAAAATCACACCCCTTATGGCCCTACGAGTAATTGGTATTGTCAAAGACTTCAACTTGAGATCAAATGTCTATGCATGAGGCATCTCACTTCAGAATCATTAGCAGAACAACTATGAAGAAGAGGCAACAATGAGAGACAACACATTCACCATTATTGTTAAATTGCTGACATGCATTGCTAGATAGGAAGAGATGACAACGAGAGGTGGTGGATTTACCACTGTCACCGGATTGACGACATGCGTAGTCAGAGAGGAAGAAACCACGACAAGGCACCAAAGGGGATAATGCAAGTCGTGAGACTGATTTGAGAACTTAATCTTGATAAATTACATTAGATCCTAATTAAAGATACATAATTAAATAAGATGATGTGTAAAATAATTATGAATAACAATCAATATTAGAAACACATAAGAGAATTTTAAAACATGTTTTAAAGAAGGGACACAAAAGTTAGCATAGAATCCAAATTGATTTCAGAAATTACTGTTAAATTTCCCTTAGGAAAGTTAATCACATGTATCTCTTTATTAATTCAGTCCAGTCCAAGACTATTTCCATGATTCAGTTTTAGGAATTAAATTTGATTTATTCAAGGATATAATCGAAGAAATCTTAACGTATAGCATCATATTTCCTGAGGTCGTGCTTCCCATATATAAATGGGCTACCCTTACCATGTTACGCCAAATTTCGACAGACAAAAACTACATTGCTTCAAAAAAAATTTCTAACATGTCAAATATCCTCTTCAACAGAAAAACATAAGAGGGGTCTGTGTAATTTGCTGCATGTTCTAATCGGCAATTATTTACTTCAAAGGTTCCTTTCAAGGGAAAAACAAAACAAAAAACATTTCTATTGCATGAGAGCAGGAAGAAGCATTCCTCAATAGCTTTTTACACAACCTCTAATAGGACAATATGCTAGCACTTGTTTGTTTGAGACATCTAAAAGTAGGAAAATAGAAATTAGGCAGCAAAATATTATGCTGTAACTCACTTAACACCTTATCCAGTTAATGAATGCTTCATTAGATTCCCTCCAGACTGACTAATACAGAACAAAGCAAACATTAAAAGGTAAACTCCTTCAAAATAATATTTTTGGACATTGCTTCAAGTTAGCAAACTTATATCTTCAAATGTAGATGTCCTATTGTAACAACATACCGAGTAATGTCATCACAGGAATAGGTCCATTTCAAGTTATTAAAGAGCATTTATCATTTTCTTCATCTCAGCAGACCGCCTGGGATCTGGTTCTTCAATCGCTCTCTCGGTAAGTACTTGCTTGATACGACACATTGACTTCCTCACCTGATTTCACATAATAAATCAATAAAATGCATACGTGCCTTTTTGGTTCCCCATACACAGTTAACATTTGTATTTCACTGTTCAGGAAAAGAGAATAAGAGCAAGACCACTGTGACTGTTCTATACCATTAATCCATTGGTCAACAAGAGCAACACAGCAACACATGTGTAAGGCAGAACAAGTGGAAAGTGAGGTGATACCTTAGGTATGCGCTCTGGGTTAGGAAAACGGAAGTTCTGTGCATTAAGCATTTGACGCTGAGTCATCAACATGTTCTTCTCCTTTAACAGCACATACCACAACTTATGAAGGTCGTCCCAAGATTTCAGGCGCAGTTCAGAAGCCTTCCAACCCCGACCTAGCAACATACATTAAGAAATATAATAAAAAGAGACAGCTATTATATCAGACAAAAATAGCACAACCTTCAAAGCTCAACAGAGAAAATCAAGAATTTTGGTTGTAATGAACAATTGTGGCTACTGCATGAAAATCAGTGAATTTGTTTACACCAAATCCAAATCTGTTATAAAATAAGAGGTGCATGATGCATACCATAAACAACAGGTTTGTCATCATCTGGGCTCCTGTCTGCCTCAAAGAACTCCTGAAGGGGATTGCGTACTTCTCTGCCACCAGCAGGAGCTGTAGTGGCATAACGTTTTGATCTAGCAGCAGCAGCAAAGAGTGTTCGTCCAAGCGTTCTAGACAAAAACATGGCTGCATTGCCAATCCATATTTATTTTATAATGTAAGAAACCAGAGGACAAGAAAATGCCATACAATGTTATCAAAATCAAATAAAATATTGCCTTAAATGCACGGATTTTCCCGACAATGTATCATTGAGTATGATCAAGTAACAGTTGAAAAATTCCATCATTTAGGTAAACAGTGCGAAGAAAGTGCAACTATGAAATTAAAAAATCAATCTTAGCTTCCCTTATACCCATACATGCAAGGACTGGGTTGGGTTGGGTTTACAGTCATACAGAGCTATCAATATATAGCAGCAATCCCCTTCAATTCTATCCCCACTTAGGCCAAGGCCAACACCCAAAGTGACCATACAGATTAAGGTTAAATCACTGAAAAATGAAAAATTAGTATTCGGAGGACACAGGCAACCCTAAAACAAAGTGAAAATGTTGATAAACTAAGTTTCCCACTTCATTACAAGTTCAATATTGTATTAGTACATAATCCCAAGATTCGAGACATAAACTGATACAATGCACCCTCGAAGAGTGGCGATATTCATATGATGAAGCAATTCTAGTAGAAAACACACAGATGAGAGGCAAAAGAAACGGCGGAAACACGATAAATATTCAGAGAGTCAAATATTTATCGTGAGGCACCCTGCCAAAATGTTCAATTGGCTAGTTGACAGTGAAACGGAGCCTTCGTAATAGACAAAATTGATGATGGTGAAGGAAAAAAAAAAGTCTACTTAGAAATATTGAACATTAAATTGGATTCATAGTTCACACGAACATTGCATATGCCTATATCAGCATCAATATCAATGTACGCGTACGGGTTAAATTGTGGTTACTCTGGACGAAAAATATTTGTAGGCAAGCGAGATCTGGCAAAGAAACCGAAAAATGCTAGGATTACTAGACTACCAAATCGCATTTTGAAGGAAAAATGCTTTTCTATGATTCAGACCAAATATCGAACAGCTTGTGAGCAACATCAAATATATTGCAAAATGATAAAAAATGAAATATTGTGGACAACAAATAAACAAAAGCGTACAGAGGGAAATTAGAGATACAAAAAAAAAAAAAAAAAAGACTTCACAAAAGGGGGAAACAGGTAAGTAAATAATACTTAGTTCTTGGGGAAGTCAGATCCACAAACTGAAAATTAGAAAAATGAAAAACAAAGCAAAACGGGAATCAGCAAAAAGCAAACCTGAAGAAGTAACCAGACTGCACTACAAATATGAAGTGGAGATTAAACTATCAAGATGAATTCATAGGAAAAGAAAAGGAAAATTGAGGTCGGGGTTTAAGGGTTTTTCAGAGAAGAGGAGAAAGACGAAATATAGTTTGAGGGTTTATATTTGCAACCCTATGTTTAATTTGTCCCTTTGTTGTTCATCAACTAACTCACTTGTAAGCAAGGAAAACACAAAATTACTATTAAATTTAAGAGAAGTAATGACAATGTTATTTTGTTAGGAACTAAATGCACCTTAAAAAAAGTTTAAAAATAAGTTAAATATTTAATACAATGAAATTTTATTAATTGAAACTCAATTAAAAATTCAATTTTATCATCAAGCGTTTAAATTACTATAAATAATTACTTTTTTAAGTTTAGGAATACATAATTTTTTATTTAACAATTCTCAAATAGATTATAAACTCACGAAGTATTTTATATAGAAAAGGTTTCATCTATACTACTATATAAACATGCTTATCTTTTTTATATACATTTTTTTTCAATTTTTTTCTCTAAATATTTTTTAAATTAAAATAATTATTTTATTAATTCTACCTTTCAAGTAATTTTTATTTTAATTTAATAATCTTTTTAATTTGATTGTTTTTTTCCTAAAATTATTATTTTAAATTAAAATAAATATTTATAATAAAATTATCTAATAATAAAATTGTAAGAATTATTTAAATTTACGTTTATAATTATAATAATAATTTTATTATTGTTTGTTATCATAAAAAATAGACACAACGAATGTATTTTCATTAATTTTAAGTATAAAGAACAGCTAATAAAAATGGAAACCATTTTAAAATAATTTTAATAATGTATGTATTGTAAATAATTAAAAATCAATTGATTATTGTTGAAATTGGTATTGCATAATGGTATGTTCTAAAGAACGTGTAAACATACAATGATTAAGAGGGATGAGTGAATTGGTTTTTTTAAAATTTTGGTTTTTTTTTAAAACTTTTATTGAACAATTTATGAATGAAAGATGCAGAGATAAATAAAAGTACTCACAAAATTTTATCCTAATTTGAACTAAAAGATTATACATTCAATCGTTAATCACTATAAGAGAGTGATTAATTTTTTCACAAGAAATCAATTTCAGATTACAATGAGAACGATAAAACAATAAGAACAGAAAACACATTCCTTCGACAAATGGTGGAATGAACACCAACTCAATCAACTTGTGGAGAACCGCTTGCACATTTAGACACACTAAACACAAGTTTCTCCTTTCTCAAGAGTTGATTAAGCTAAGACTTAAACTAGAGAACTTCATCACAACCAATTATGTGCTCTCCAATGGTTTAGGTAACCTTTAAAAGGTTTAGGAGAGTTCTATATATAGGTAAGGGGTCAGAAAATGAAAAGACAATTCTCAATTGCTAGTGATAATCAATTATCACAAGTGATAATCGATTATTTCATGCCGTTATGGGTTTTCGAAAATGTGATAATCAATTATCCTTACGGATAATCAATTATTGTTGAACCCTGGACAATATAAAAACTTTCGATGATAATCGATTATCCCCTATGATAATCGATTATCGCCGCAAGAAATGATTAAGCTATAATACTCATAAGAGCTTACACTTGAAAAATAACTCCTATACAAATGAATTCTACAAAGAATGCTTTTAACAATTTATGTATTTGTTTCTTCAAGTCTTCAAATGCATCATCATCATAATCTCTTCAAAGTAATAACAATGCTTCTCATGGGTAACAATCTCCCCCTTTTTTATGATGATAAAAAATCCTCTTCTTTGTTAAAATCCCTTATGACTTCCTGCATTATTTTAAACTTACACAAAAACATAAAGGTTAATAGCTTTAAACAATAAAAACATATTATGTTGTTTTCTCCCCCTTTTTGATCATAAACATAAAGGCTCATGAGAAGGAGAGACTCCCCCTCAATTTAGGCTCCTTCTTAACAAAACATTAGTTCAATCAAAGACAATAAAAGTTGGATTGATAAAGTCAAGCAATAATACATCATAATTTAGAAAATACTAGAAACATACATTTAAAGCTTAAAAGAAATACAATTATACTTAAAAGTTAGGACTAAGAGGATAATTAGGAGGTTGAAGGTTAAGATGATCCTTAATGTTGTAAATCCTAGTATCAAAATCTTTTAAGTGCTCAATCACATAACTATAGTGAGATTGATCCATCTCAAGGAGTTCTCCATGTCTAGTCTGGTGGAGAGTGCTCATCTGCTCTTGAAAATTTCTCATATGCTCCATTTGACGAGTGAAATTTGCAAGATGTTCTTCAATGGAGAAGGACGAGGATGAAGGTGCAGCTAATGGAGCAGCTTCAGAGGGATCAACTACATTGACTGGTTCTATCATATGAGCATCTATATCATCATCTTCATCGTCATTATCTGCTTCATCTTTGTGAACAAAAATGTTCCCACGAGCAACAAAACCCATTTGTCACAAGGTGGTTTCTCCAATCTCCGAACCAACAGCTTGGATGGCACGAGAACTTTCACCATCAACATTGACTCCTTTGTACTCAAGGATGCGAGACACAAGAAGGACATGTGGGAGATGATAAATAGGATATCGTTGTGCCTTCATCATACTGTCCACAATGAGAGAGGACCAATCAATATGAATGTGCTTGAGAATCCCATAGATAATAAAAAGGTCTTGTTCCGAGCATTGAGCATGATCGGTGGCTCGAGGACATAGAACCCAAACGATCATATAATGAATCAATCGTTCTTCAACTTTGAATCCATCCACAAGAAGTTGTTTTGGCACGGTTTGAAGTAGTGGATTCCTTTGAAAAGATTGGAAAACAAGGAGACGATTGAATCCATCTACACCAAGATGAACTTTAACAACATCATCTCTAATAGGCATCATGGCCACATGGGATGGAAAAGTGGATGTAGAAAATAGATGAAGAAAATAATAAAAAGAGGTTGGTGGAGAAGGTGGTGGATAAAATATAATTTAGAAAGGTGAATGAAATAAATAAAAGTTAGTGTGAGAGATTAATATAAAAATGGGGTGGAAAAGTAAATGGAGAAAATGGATGAAGGAAATAATGGATAAAATATAATTTAGAAAAGGTAAGTGGAATAATTGAAAAAGTTAGTATGAAAAAATTAATATAAAAATGAGGTGGAAAGAGTATATGAAAAGGTAGATGATGTGGAATATGATATGGAAAGTGATGTGGAGGGTGATGTGGAGAGTAAGGTGTGAGAAGAAAAAGAAGATGGTGAAGAAATAAAAATGTTTTGGATTAGTTATCCTTTTGGCATAAGGAGTAAAAATTAATTTGGGGATGCAAACAGGAAAACAAATTATAATTTTATTTTCTTTTTATTATTTTTTTTAAAATTATTTTTTTGTGATGAATTTTATTTATTTGGACAAAATTGGGTATTGACAATACCAACAAATACTTTTTTAAGATATATTCTATGAAAGTTGTTTCAAATATAAAGATTCTTACAATCTCCAATTTTGGGACCTAATTATAAAAAGATTTTATCTCATGATCATAAAATAATCTTATATGAAAATAACTTTCTTTTCAATAGGCTTCTAATATGATGTTAGATATAGTATATTTATTTGAGAATTGTTTTCTTATAAATAAACTGGTAAAAAAACCCAAGGCATATATATATTGATAAGCAATAGTAGAACAAAAGTCTTTTTATACCGACTAAATATGACATTTTATGTCGGTTCTAGAACCAGTATAGAAGCAAGAAGTATAGAAAGTAATGACTTTTTATACCAATTTCAGAACATATACAGAATATTTCACTTTTTATACCAGTTAAAGGTATAACCAATATAAAAAAAATATTTTTCAAGTAACCAATATGATCTCTGAACAACTCTATGGCTAAATGCATAAGCCTTGAATGAATCTTAAGTATGGAAACAAGCAAAACAACATTTGTTTAAAGAGTATACCAAAAAAGCCAAAGTCATCCATATCCATGGATATAACATAACTGGAATAAGTTTATTAGACCAAAACAAGAAACAACAAGCTCTAATTTTTTAAGACAAATATACTTCAATAACAGTAGAACAACAAACACTCGTTTACTATTGTTTCATATGCACATATTCAATCTCTTTTACCACTAATTTCTCCATCTTCAATTTTCAGCACCCACATCCATTCACAGATATTATCCAAAAAAAGGAAATAAGGAGAAGAAAGGGAGAAACAATCACCAACGAGTCAGAGTTTTGATTGGACACACGATGCAATGGTTGCGGAGGAAGCGGCAACCTTGGGTAACATAACTTTGCCTTATGGAGAAGATGAAAGGTCGCGTGCTCCTCGTTCGCAAACATCAAGGAGAAGCAGTCAGTTGATGAAGATCTTCGAAAGACCTTAGAATTAATCGGTACAGAGAAAGCAAAGGACTTTAATACCGGAACGGACGATCTCTTACGCTTCAGAGGCAGAACGTGCGTTCCTAATGATGGGGAACTGAAAAGAATAATTCTTGAGGAAGGGCACCAAAGTCGTTTTAGCATACATCCAGGCATGACTAAGATGTATCAAGACCTCAAAGCGAATCGTATTATTTTGAGTATTTCTGGTCTTTTGTTTGGATCAGTTTCTTAAAGCGTGACTGTTGAACGTTAAGGTCTTTGGTAGTGGTGAGCTCTATTCTGCATCTGTGAGCGTTCGGTTACGTTTAGAGGTAAGGGAAGCTTATATAATTTGATTAAGATTCTTGTTTTGAACGTTTGTGTGTTTGTATGATACTTTGTTTGATTATTTAATGAGTATGAAATATGCGCGTTAATGCATGTTTGTATGTGTGGATGGATGATTGATAAACGGTGTGAACTGAGTTGACATAGGGTTTGATATTCAAATTATAGTATACTGAGTAAATGTTGTAGTATGGTCGAGCGTCATTAGTGATCGTTCGATTCTTCCTGGAATTACATGGTCTTAACTGATTTCTCATGCTTTAGGGATGTTGTCTAAGAGTCACTCTGTAATACTCAGCAGAATTTTGTAAACTATAACTGAGAGTCAATATCGACCGTTCAGTTTTCCTTTGAGCGTCCGTCTAAACTAAATTCTTCTTCTGGAGAGAAGTTCGTTCAGGAAGATCGTTTTATAATATTA